AACCCAGGGTGTGGGGAGAAGGATCTGAGCAGGTGCACACAGGAGGTTCCAAGTGCTGGGATCACATAAGCGACTCACATCCCCCTTCCATCTAGGTGACCTGGACTCCACCGGCCTCCCCACAGGCTCCTAAAATTAGCTGCCCTCATAACAGTTCAGACACACTCCATCTTAAAGGATCAAGCCTCCTACTTCCTATGTCTACCTGAAGTTCGTGTTCCTCCCCCAGAGATGACTTCCTCATGGCTCCCATCAGTTCTACTCAGGTGCTAAGAGCTATTTGCTTTGAGCTCTTGTCCCAAGCCATGGGTCTTCCCCTGCACCTCAGCTGGAGCTACTGGTGTGGCCCGCCTCACTGGGATCTGTACCTCACCTAACCTTCCACTCACATCCGTGGAGCTAAGAAGGACCATTTTCCAGGAGGGTCTGAGCCTGGAACCTTAACCTCCAACTACCTTCTAACCCTCGGTGCCCAATTCATCAAAGAATCCCAGCTCTGCCTCTGTCCAAGTGACTCCTTGGCCAGTGCTAAGCTGGTTTGGATCTCTCCAGGTTCAAAGACATATGGTGAGCCCTGTGTCCAGGTGATTCTTTGGCTAAGTGAAGAGTTAGTTTGGAGCCCTCCATGTCCAAGGGCACATGAGGATCCCTATGTCCAGCACACTCCTAGGCCTATTCCTGAGCTGGTTTGGAGCCGTCCAAGTCCAAAGCCATTCAGTGATCCTTCTGTCCAGGTGAGACCTTGGCTTAGTGGAGAGCTGGATTCGAAGGCTCATAGTCTGAAGGGTCCTGGTAAGCCCAGTGCTTTGGAGACTTGATTGCCCTGTGCTTTGCTGGGTTCAAAATCTCCAGGTCCAAGGGCATGTGTTGAGTCTGCTGTCCACGTAATTCCTTGGCCTTTGGCAGAGCAGTGTTGGATGGTTTCTGGTTTGTATGCTCCTGGCAAGTCTAGTGTTCTGAGACTTGATTGCCTTGTCTATGCTGGGTAGGTGGTCTCCAGGTCAAGGGCACATGTTGAGCTTACTCTCTAGGTGACTCTTAGGCCTAGTGCAGAGGTGTTTTGGGTGCTTGTGTTCTAGATGCTCCTGGCAAGCCCAGAGTTCTACTTGATTTCTCTGTGCCACGTTCTCTTGGAGATCTTCATGTTCAAGGGCACATGGTGAGCCCCATGTCCATGCAACTACATGGCATTGTGTAGAGCTGTGGTCGATAGCTCCAGTTCCATGGTTCATGGTGAGCCTGCTCTCCACATGACTTTTTGGCCTAGGGCAGGGCTGGATTGGGTGGCTCATTGTTGGAAGGCTCTTTGCAAGCCCAGTGTTCTGTAGACTTTATTACACTGTGCTCTCCTTCACTGTAGGGTTCCATATTCAAGGACACCTGGTGAGCCACCTGTCCAGGATACTCCATGGCCTAGTGCTGAGCTGGTTTGGAGCCATCCAGGTCCATGGGCAAGTGGTGATCCCAGTCTCCAGGTCACTACTTGGCCTAGTGCACAGCTGGCCTGCTTGGCTCATGGTCTGAAGGCTCTGGCAAGCCTTATGTTCTGAAGACTTGAATGCCCTATCTGCTTTGCTGTAGGCCTCCAGGTCCAAGGGCATATGGCAATCTTCCTGTTCAAGTGACACATTGGCCAAGTTCATAGATGGATTTTCAGACTCCAGGTCCCAGGGCATGTGGTTAGCTCACTGTCCAGGTGACTCCTTGGCCTAGTGCCATGCTGGGTGGGAAGAATCCTGGGCTCATGTCTCTTGGGAAGCCCAGTAACCTGGAGACTTAACTGTCCTCTTCTCTTCTCTGTTACATGGCTCCAAATCCAAGGACATGTGGTGAACCCATTGTCAACGACACTGCTTGGCCTAGTTCTGAGATGCTTTGGACCCCTCCAGGTCCCAGGGAAGTGGTGAGCGTGTTGTCCAGATGACTCCTTGGCCTTGAGAAGAGCTGATTTGGAGGATTCATGGCCTGATGACTATTGGCAGGCTCAATATTCTGGTCACTTGATTGCCCTGTGTTCTGCTAAATTGGAATGCTTGTGCTCTGAAAGCCCCTGTAAAGGCCAGTGTCTTGTGCAATCAGTTGCTCTCTTTCCTGGATTGAAGGGCTCGCGGTCTGAGGGCCTCTGGTCAGCTCTGTGTCCAGATGACTCCTTTGCCCAAAGTTAAGCTGGGATGCAGGGCTTATGATAGGGCAAACTCGCCTGGCAAACCTGGTGTTCTGAGGACTCAATGGTGGTATGTGATACTACATTTGAAGGCTTGTGGTCTGTGGGTGCCTGGTCAGCCCAGTGTCGGGGGAAAATTTTGTCCATTACTGAGGGAGATCAAATAGTTCATGACCTGAGGGGCTGTTTCCCAAATACTACCAGTGTCTCCAGTGTTGTGATTCCTTCTCCAAGTGGTTATTTGTTTCAAATAATTCCATTACTGTCAGGTGTCAGTGGGCATTGTCCACATTGTGGAAGTCTGGGTCAGTCTGACATTCAGAGCATTGATGTACCCTGTGCTGAGTATTGAAGGATTCCTGCAGAAAAGGGGGGCAAGGCTCCCTCAGAATATGGCCACTCCCACCTGCTAAATAGGAACATATATCTGAGTGGCCCACCCAACCTCATAGTGGTAAGCAGTCCAGGAGTCACCTGGTACAGGTATGTGGACTCTCAGGACCAGAGAGGCACAAAGGTAGGTGCACACCTGAAGGTAGAATACATAGTGTTAACAAGAGGCCCCAGGCAGGAGGAATGGGAAGGGGCTTACCATCAGCAGGGACAGGGGACAGTACAGAGAAAGTGATGAACAGCAGAAAGAACTGTGGTGGTATTTCCAAGTCTTTCTTCAGTGTGGCCTGATCTGTGCCTGGCTTTTCTAACAGCCCTGATTCATCACAATGACTTCCTGTGATGTCAGCACAATTTCAAGGCCAGTCATCAGTCCCCTTTCAGATTGGCCTTGTTCAGGTGGCCAATCACGAGGCAGCTCAGCTGGCCAATTGCAGATGGCTTTCAAATTGGCCCTCCTGCCATCATTGCCTGGACAAAATATTTTAAAGGAAAATATGTTAACTTTCTTCAAGATGAAAAATTAATATTTGGGATGTATTTATAGTACAGTCATGGTGAGGATGAAAGTCTCAACTGGTATAAAGCCAAATATGTCACTTAGAGTCACCATTCACTATAACACAACAATATGAGTGAATTCATGGGCCATAAAACTGCATCAAAGTCACAAGTCAGTGGGATATCTAACAACATGACTCCAGAGCAAATGCTACTCTCAACTCATCCATCTGAGCTTGAGAAGAAACCTAAAAAAGGTAAATATTATGTATAGTACATCTTCCAACAATAAAAAACAGGTAAACCTGGAGAAGATGAAGCTGAGTCACAAGTCATTAAATGCTTGCTAAAACCACATTCAGCACTCATTGGAGGGGATACCAAAATCCAGGCTTCCAACACATTTAAAGTGTTGTCCATCATCCAATTAAAAAAAAACCCTCAATAATCAAGGAAATAGGAAAATGGAACACATAACTTGAAGAAAAATAATTCCACAGCAAAAGACTCCCCAAGTGACAGGTGAAAATATATAGAGAGACATCATCGACAGGAGTTCTTCAGGCAAACAATGGTAGCAGATGGGCACTGTAATCTAGAAACAAATGAAAAGGGTAGATAAGTAAATGGAAAAATATGATTCTTTCATTATCTCATTTAAAATTTTCCTCTACAAGATACTGGAGTGTTTAAGGAAACAGAAAAGCATTAACCTATTGGGTCTACAGCAAGTATCAAGTAAAAGGACAAGAATGGCACAAAGATCAGAAAGGGAAAATGGAAGTCAATTATTTGTTGTGTGTATATTTTTCATATATTTAGGTAACATATATTTGAGGAAATATTATTTGATGGCAGAGTGTGACAGACTAAGTAAAGATTCAAGTTTTAAAGCCTCAAGCAACCACTAAGACATGTTAGCGCTCCACTGAAAAAAGGATAGCCAGTAAAGCATTCCTAGATATTGCAGAGGAAATACCAAAACAATATTCATGAATCACAATAAACAGAAGGCTGACTTGGTGGCTCAGTCATGACTGAGGTCAGACTCTTACTCTTGGCTCAGGTCATGATTTCACGGTTTGTGAGATTGAGCCCCTCACAGGGACAGCACAGAACCTGCTCACATTCTCACTCTCAAAATAAATAAGCATTAAAAATAAAAATAAAGAAATAAAGAGAAAAAAGAGGTAAAAACAGAACAGATGTGACCAACATAAATAACATCAACACGAGAGATTGACTGATAGTTCCAATCAAGAAAACGGCCTAACTGATCCTCAAAAATCAGATTGTTGAATAGAATAAAGAAACAAGTTCTTGCTATGCCAAAGAAAAGCCCTTTAAAGAGATGGACACGGTAGGTAACAATTAATGAAATGGACTACAATAGACCATGCAACACTTACCATAAGAACCATGAAATGTGCATAATTTTATGAAAGTAGACCTCAAGAGAAGGAATGTTTCATACACGAATGAAGGGCCAATTCAGCTAGAAGACATATTCATTCTGTGTATTCACCTAATTGACACCTTGGGTTTAGATAAAATGAAAATTGATAAAACAAAAAAGAGAAATACAAAAATTGACAATTTAAAATTGAGATTTCAATACTCCCCTCTCACTAGTCGAAGGTACAGAGAAAAACTCAGGATTTGAAATATTTCAACATTACCACCCATCCTGACCAAGGAGTCATCCCTACAATGCTCTACAACATGGCAGCAAATCCATGTTCTGTTCATGTCCACAAGGACCATTCATGAATACAGAACATGTTTGGGCCATACAACAAAGTTAATGAATTGATCAGAAAAGAAATGACAGAATTTGTCTTTGACCACAAATGACTGAATTAAAAATACATAACAGCTGTCTGGCAAGGTCCCAAATATTAAGCGAAATGTTTTGAGGTGACAAAAAGCTGGGTGAGAAATTGAGAAAATCATTCACATCGATGTTCATGGTTTCAATGAGAAAGCAGACCCCTAGAATGGTCTGGAATGAGTTATTTCAGGTGTTGCCATGCGACTGCTTCCCCAGGCACAGCGCTGCTTACACTGACTTGACTCTGGGTGTTGGAGCTCTGTCTTGGCCTGATATCCTTCTGTGAGTTTCTTGTGGGCACGGCTGGTTCCTGAACCTCTTCCCTGCTCAACACATGGAGCACCCACTCAGACACAGTCACTGGGCAGGACGTAGAGAAAGGCTGCCTGAGGACCCGAAGTCTGCTGTCCAAAACCATGGTTGAGTGTTCTCTATGCCACACAGGCAGAGGGGAAGTGTTCATGGCTCTAGACTCAAGGCTGATTCACATTAAACTCTGTCATCTCCTGGCTGGGTGACACTCAAAGTCCTGAATGTCCTGGGTTCCTCATCTCTGAGATCGGGAAAGAAGTCTTGCCTACAGGGAGAAATAAGATTGGATGATGGAGTGGAGGATTGTAATTGTTTCTGGCTGCCCAGTATCTGAGTCCCCTCCCACCACAGAGACTGATAGCAGCAGAGCCACTCGTCCAGTCCCCCCTGAACCAGGACAAAGGCTTGTGACTGAGTCTCCGCTGCGTGCTGTGCAGAGAGCTGAGGGTTTACACGCAACACGATACTGAATCCAGACAACAATTCCTCAAGTGGTTCCCTTCATTCTACAAAGCACCATTGAGAGTTTTGGTGTCCTGCCTGTGCTGACACAGCTGGTGTAAGAGTCAAGACTGTGACCAGGTCTCATGTGATCCTACTTCCACAGCAGATAAACAGTCCAGAGGAAACACTCCCAATAAATTGTTCTTATAACTACTATTAGAGACATGCACCTTAGAAAGTCTTACACAAAGTTCTCTTCTAAAATATACCAGTGATTTAACATCATGTCACTCCACAGGCATTTACTGAGTGGAGTTTTCTCTTTGGGGGTTGGCATGGTGCCACGTGATTTAAACATACTCTTTGATCTCTAAGAACTGATATTCTGACATCAGGCTTTGCCTAACATGTAAGGCTGTCCATGTCAAACTAGGGACACTTCTGCAGGAAAGAGAGGCCATTGTGACAGACAGGCCACCACACCGAGCAGGCTTGTGTCTCACACAACTGACCTTTCAATACAAAGGTTAGAACAGCTCATTTTCCACTGGGAGAAGAGAGCAATATGTTGAAAAAATAATATTCCAGAAATGAGGAATATGGATCCTCCCAGAGATGAAATAACTTATATTCATAAAATTATGTTTTTTTCTTTTAGCAATGTTCACAATATGTGGATTTTCTTGAAGTTTATTTATTTGTTTGTTTATTTTTGACAGAAAGAAACTCTTGGGAGACAAGGCATACAGAGAGGCAGAGAGAGAATCCGAAACAGGCTCACTGCTGTCAGCACAGAGCCCAATGCGGGGCTTAAACCCACAAACTGTGAGATCATGACCTCAGTGGAACCAAGCGTCCCATGCTTAACCACTTGATTCACCCAGAGGCACTCCAATATATGGAATTATAGAAAGGGGCTTCTAAAGAGTTATAAAATGTGATTATAATTTCATAAAAATAAAGCACTGTGATTTTTTTTTAATTTTTTAATGTTTTATTTATTTCTAGGAGGGAGAGAGAGAGAGACAGCGTGAGCAGGGGAGGGTCAGAGAGAGAGGGAGTCACAGACTGAAATAGGCTCCAGGCTCTGAGCTGGCAGTCAGCACAGAGCCCGACGCGGGGCTCGAACCCACGAACCGCGAGATCATGACCTAAGCGAAAGTCGGACGCTTAACCGACTAAGCCACCCAGGCGCCCCAAAGCACTGTGATTCTAATTCACAAAAGAATATTAAAACGGAAGTTGGAATATAGTCCCCAAAGCGCCAGTAGTGACTTCAGCGCCTGGGTCTGCCAGCGACTTTAGGTCTCCAGCCCCCTATGTGTTGTCTACACCGCACTTCTGCAGCTTTAGAGCCCCTGCACAGCATGCACACCGACTACCCGAAAACGGGTTCGGCCTCGACTGTTTCTGGAGGCAGCTGGCTCCCAGGCCGGACTGGGGTTGGGGAATGTGCTCAGATTGTATCTAAATGACCTCAGCGACGGGCACCTGGGTGGCTCTGTAGGCTCCGTGTCTGACTTTGGCTCAGGTCATGATCTCACGGTTCGTGGGTTTGGGTCCCCCGTCGGGCTCTGTCCTGACAGCTTGCTAAGAGCCCGGAGCTGCTTCAGATTCTGTGTGTTCTTCTCTCTCGGCCCCTCCCCCGTTCGTGCTCTTTCTCTGTCTCTAAATAATAAGTCAATGTAAAAAAATTAAAAAAAAATAATAAATGATCGCAGCAATGCGATGCTTCAAGTGAAACTCCAAACGACCTGGGTTCTCACAGAAGTATGGCCATCAGGTGTCTAAGGACACAAAGTGTTTTTTTTGGAGGGAAAGATCCTTTCCCGCTAGACAGTCCACAGCCGGCGCGGGCCCTGCTCCCGCCAGGCTCCCGTTGGGCCAGAACGTGGGAGTCTCCCCCTACCCGTTTCTACCCGGGCAGAGCTTCCGAGCGCACCACCAAACGTGTGGCGGCACTTCCGTCACGCTACCCCGGGCTTGACCAACTTCCGGGCTGGTTTCCGGACTTGGAGCTGAGACCAGGTGCTCCGCTCGCTACAGCGTCCAAGCAGAGTTACTGAAACTCCGCTTTGAACTCCGCGGTTCCCAGAATTACACAGAAACTATTTTAAATTTCATATGGAAAATAACGCGGAGGAATCGTCAACAGGAATTATTTATGAAAAAAAGAGAATGACAAGGGGGCTCCCCTGCCGGATGTTCAGATCAAGGCGCGGCCGGAAGAGGGTCTCCCGGGGGAGCTCGGGGACCCAGGTCGTGGGTGAAGGGCGGCGCCCCCTGCTAGGGTAATGACCTTAGCCCCTGTCTCCGTGAACACACAAATTCGGGACGCCTTGGAAATCATAATGCAAAACGAATAAAAATGGTGAAAATATTAGCAAAGAATGTGGATATCTGTATAACCTTGGAGTAATGAAGATTTTTTAAAGCAAGCGTATTAAGAGCATATAGGATTTTTCAGACAGATAAAACAACTCTGGTAAGCTTACACCCTTACCTACGTGTAGATGAACTCGGGTCGTCATCTGCCTGCTGTGGGCGATAAAAATTCATAAAGTGAAAAAATTGTTGACACTGAGCTTGATACAAATATCAAGTCAGTTAGTAGTTAATTTTGAGTAATGGTAACTCAGAGTCTCCTGGGTCCTGGGAAAAGATCTCACTGGGTGGATAGCATACCTTTTACATGAATAACCGTGTTCTCACTACATAGGTAAGAAAGTGGGATCCCACTTTCAAGAAATGGGATTGCTGATTTAAATGGTAAGTAATATATCACATTTTAAGAAAACACCTAACTGCTTCTCAAAGTGACATAATTTGATATTCACGCTAGTAAAGTTTCATATCTACAGCTTATGAACACTTTATTGTTGGTCCTTTTGATTCTAGCCATTCTAATGGGTGTGTAATGGTACCTCACTGTGGTTTTGTTTTACTAATGGTAAATGATGCCGATGTGCTTATCTGCCACCCTTGGGCCCTCCTTGGTGAACAGCTGGTTCATATCTTTTGCCCATTTAAAAAGTTAAAACACTGGGTCACTTTTCTTATAACTGAATTTTGAATTCTTTAAACTGGACACAAGTATAGGATTTATAAATATTTCATTTCTGCCTTTGGCTTATATTTTCATTTTCTTTTTTTTTTTTTAAATGCTTTATTTATTTCTAGGAGAGAGAGACAGCGTGAGCAGGGGAGGGTCAGAGAGAGAGGGAGTCAAAGACTGAAACAGGCTCCAGGCTCTGAGCTGGCAGTCAGCACAGAGCCCGACGCAGGGCTCAAACCCACGAACCACGAGATCATGACCTAAGCGAAAGTCGGACGCTTAACCGACTAAGCCACCCAGGCGCCCCTATATTTTCATTTTCTTAATGGTGATCTTTTGAAAAGCAAATGTTTTTAATTTTGATGAAAAGCAGCTGCATTAATATATGGGCCTAAAAGGAGTCAGCCCTGCTGGCTTGATTCTATGCATAGTGAATGTACAAATGATATAACACACAAGCACATCACACACCAAACACACATGTATTGTGCTGCATACACCATGCATGTGCACACACATACACTGCATCACACACACCATGTACACATGCAAACAATCATATGCACTGCATCATACACACACACTCGGTCACACAAACATGCACCAAATCTCACACTAAACACACAAACAAAACCACACAATGCACTGCATCACATATTATGCACACACAACCACATATATGTGCATTGCATCATACACATCATGCACACATGCAGTCGTGCACTGCATCTTACACCACACGCGCGCGCACATTGCATCACACACCATGTAGCTTCACACACAAACATGCACTGCACCGCACACATGCTGCACTTCTTACACAGACATGCCCTACACCTCATGTTAAACGCACACCAAACACCCCCATACACACCGCATCACACACACTACATTCACATACATACACACACACCTGCACTGCATCACACACCATACACACGCACGGACACATGCATCACATACACAGACTCACATATATACACTTGTGCTGCATCTCACACAACCACGTGCACACATGGGCACACACAGAATCAGAGGATTGTGCCAACACAGAAGCAAAGGCCTGTGTTTGAGAAGTCCCAGTTGCAATGACAGTGGGTGCTGCCCCAGGCCTGGATAGCACAGATGGTGAAGCATCAGGGCACCCGGTACCTGTGGCATCTTTACTTTAATGAACAGTGGTTCAGGTCCTGCTGAAACTTTTGGAGTCTTTTGAGAGTGGCCCTGCGTCAAGAACTCATATGTGCTCAACTTCTTGGACACTAGAAAGGGGAAAGGATGAAACGGGCAGTTACAATTATGCAACTGGGCAAGTGGTCTTCAGGCCATGACCCAGCCTTTCAGGGACCCTGCAGGATGCCAGCAGCTGCCTACTAGCCTGGATCATGGGGGGCTGCTGCACGGCCACTCCGGGGCCCCTCTGGTCTGTGGGCGGTGGGCTGCAGCTTGTCACAGCCCGGAGGCTGCTGGGCACCCACCTCATCCCAGGACCTGCCTCACAGGCCCGCAAAGCCAGTGTGGACCCAGACACTGGCTCTGGCACTGTAGCAGAAGCACCACGGGTCACTGAAAGGGCATCTGAGACCTGTGTCTGTCAATAGACAGCACCGTCCATGAAACGGGTTCTGTGCCTGTTTCAGCATGTGCTTCAGCAGAAGCGCCAAACCTCCCATTTCTCTTTCCCCAAAACCAACAAACACAAGGACAGATGGTTCCTAATTATTTCTGGAAATCGAGAAGGGCCACCCACAGAAGCCTATTTGCAGCTCTAGGAGCAGACGGAGGGTGACCTCTCCACACCCCCAGTGGAGCCAGTCCCTGTCCCTGGGTGGTTTGTTCAAGCACATCTGTGTTTGCTGTGGCTTTCTGATGAACCGCACCTGGCTCTTGCTACCTTCATCCACCTCCCTCAGAACTTGCCTTTGTTAAGCCACAAAATTGCACCAGGTCACATGCTCGTGAAAACACTCATTCTCTTGCAGGGATTTGCATGGGTACCATCGCCATCAGATGGCAAGTACACACTCACCCTCATTTTTGTGTATATGCTTTCATCTCATGGTAAAGGAGGAGCTGTGGCAGGGGAGGGAGGCCAGAGTGCGGTGCGCACTGAAGGAGTGTCCAGCGTGTTCCTTCCAGTGACACTAGGCACCAACAAAGCAGCCCAGGGCCGCTGGCCTGGGACGCTCTCTGCCCCGCTTGTGTAGAGCTGGCTTTCCCCACCCTGCTGCTGGTACCCCCACATCTGTGCATTTCCCTTGGAGGTCTTGCCATCACCAATGCTGTACTTCGCTCATGCTGCAGCCTCGTCTGGATGTCATTCACCCAAACTTCAAGATGAGGTATCCAGCTTCCAGCAGCTTCTTACGGGGGCCCCAGCACCCCCCCAACCTCAGGGTGTTTGTTTAGCGCCATCCCCTGGAGAGCAGTACCAAGGTACCAGTGCCTTGCAGAAGAAGTGGGGGTGGGCATCACTTCTGTGACTGGGCTATGAAGGCTGGCTCTGCCTTTCTGCTGCCCGATGCTCTCTCTTGCTGGGGTGCCCACGGTGGCAGGAGGCACTGGCCAATGACTCATGGGGAAGTGAGGCCAGGAACCGGCCTGCCAATACCCTGGTAATGAGCCTAGATGTGAGTTCCAGTCGGATGAGACCACAGCCCTCCTCACACCTGGTGGATGCCTTACGGCAAAGCAGGGCCTGTGGAGCTGGCTAGGCTGTGCTGAGCCCAGGAGCTACAAAAACTGCCAGGTAATGACTGTTATTTCAAGCAGAATAAGCTGACTATAAATAATAGTTAATATCCCAACTTTGTCTGGAAGTCTGTGCTTTGCTGTCTAAATACTCTGAAAGTGACACCATGAACCCTCACCTCAGTTCATGCACCCAAGGTGAGTGTGGAACCCTCACCCTCCGGATTGCCTAGGTTAGAGACCTGTGGTCCCTGTCCCTGGATCTCCCATTGGCTGACTATCCCGTGGACCTGTTCTCCAGTATCACACCCATCCATCCTGAGTGGCTGCAGTGGACTTCTGGACCTGCCCACCCTGCCGCCTATCAGCTGTCATGCACGCTGCCGCTGGGGGACTGCTCCCAAGTCCACCCTTGTCCCCACTGGGCAGTGTGTGGAAGCCTTAGGAAGGGCCTGGGCTACCGGCCTCTGGCTCCAGGTGCTGATTTGGGCCCTGAGGACACCCCCTGTGCCAGACCAGCTCCAGCAGCCACAGAGAGAGCCCTGCTGCTGCCCTCTCCCTTGCAGAGGCTGCAAAGAGAATTCGTGCCCTCCCACGTGCAGGGCAATGGTGGAGCCTGCTGTACGCAGCACTTCATGGCCTCCAGGAAATGGCCGGTGTCCCTGCAGCGAGGTGGGTCAGCAGATACCCTGTCCCTGGCTCATTGTTTTTCATTGTTAAGATTTGGTGCTTCTCTAAATCCCCTGCTCTTTTTTAATAGTGCCTGTTCTTGCCTTACACATTCTACCCCCCCTTCTCTAACTTATTCCTAGTCACTCTCGTGTCTTCCACAGGCCTCAGAGCAGAATTAGCCCTGCTGTCCCTCTAGAGGTGTCTCTTCCTGTCCTATGACTTGTCCAGTGTGCTCTTCCCCAGAAGGGGACAGCAGATCTTGTCTTGGGACACGTGGGAACGCAAGGCACAAACACCAGAGTGGGGTCCAGGACACATACTTAAGTAGACGTGGAAGATAAGCAGGTGTCCAAGCATCACGAGGCTGAAGATCGATAACAACAGCACGAAGAGCCCAATGCCCAGGACCCCCAGGGTCTTCGTCTTTACGGGGAACAGGGGCAGGAACAGCAGCCAAGTGTTGGCATCAGAGATGTCTGCGGAGGCAAGGGAGACACGTGTGCGCCCAGCACCTGGGGCGTGGCCAGCCTCTCCTCTGGGGAGCATGCTCTGAAATGGGGGAGGGTCGGCAGACGGAGGAAGCCCCTTCCCGCCAGGGTGTGTGCCCTACACCTCACCCAGGTGCCCCTGTGGCCCCCTGACCAAGGCAGGTATCACAGCCCCACTTGACATGTCTGCAAGGTGAGGCTGGGAGAGGATAACTAAGTGTCCAGGTGGCAGAGCCTGACCCCCTGTCTGGCCCAACACCCACCGTATTGCAGGCCACGCCACTGTGCTGGGCCCTCCCTGTTCTAAACCAGCTACCCTCACAGGGAGCTGCAAGGTGGTGGCCTACACCGTGGGCAACTCCAGGACCTGGTCCTCTGGGCCCCTGGGGACGCTGACACGTCCAAACTGAAGTGTGAGGAAAGCACTGAGGGATCTGCAGGCAGGCCCATGGAGACAGAATTCCAGCTGGAAGGCACCCACCCCTCATGGAGACCAGGAAGTACAGACTCCAGGCCCCTCTGTGGCACGGAAGGTGGCTACAGGCCCGCTGTGCTGTGTGGCTGTGGGCCTCAGGGACTGCGGCATAGGGAGCGTGAGGCTGGCTGCACCATGGTGTGGCCGGCACACGCTTGTCCCCTGAGCTGGTGACGTCTCAGTGAATTCCCACCGATGAGAGCAAAGCACCCCAGGGAACTGGCAGTTAAACCGCCCCACAGAATCTTCTAGAACAGCAAACGCAGGAGACTGCCTCAGTCATCAGGCATCATGTGCAGCGGGACCACGACAGTTCCAGCACCACAAGTCCCAGAGAAGCACCTGCCGGGGCCACGCTGCCCTCTGTCCTGACACTGCATGACAGCAGGAGCCCCGCCGATGTCCATGCTGGGAGGAAGTAAGGACACGTGCTGCAGAACTTGGGAGTGCAGAGTTGCCTCTTACCACGTGCAAGCCACATTTCGGAGTGTGTGGGGGCCACGAGAGGCCCTGTGAGCAGGAAGGCCTTCACAGGGAAGCCATAGCACCCACCCATGACTGCTCTGGAGGGAGCAGGCACCACCAGCCTCTCTGCTCAGGCTGCGTGTGTGCACCGTCAGGAAGGGTGGCAGGTGGGGCCTCATGCTGCTGGGTGGGGCCTGGTCTCACTGAGACCCCCACTATTCCCTTTTATCATGGAAATAGCCAGGATGCACTTCAGAGTAGTGCTGGTTAGATGGTCCATCCCACAAGGGATGGGATCGTCCATCCCAAGTGCAGTGTGGGCCTGGGGGTGAAAGTGCACAGGGCGGGGTGCCCCTCCAGGAAGAGGGTCAGCTGTGACATGCTCACAGCTCAGAGAGGCCTGGGCTGAGAAAGGAAGCTTTGCTCTGCACCCTGAGGGCTGACATCCCCAAACACTCAGGACAGACACAGGAGGTGCTCCGCCTGGGGTCCTCCCTGCATCAGCTCCCTGCATCAGTTTCCAGGGCTGCCATGACCGATGGCCACAGACCAGGCGGTTTCAACAACAGAGATGGAGCCCCAAAGTCAGGGTGTTGCAGGGCCCTTCTCCCTCCAAGGCCATAGGGGAGGATCCGTCCTTGAATCTTCCAGCTTTTGGGATCCGGGCAACACTGGGCTTGTGGCCGTGTCCCTCTAGTCTCTTCTAAGGGTATTTTCACTACCTCTAGGACCCCACACATTCCTGGGTAACCCATCATGATTGCGGGATCCTTCATCACATCTGGAAGGATTCTCTCCCCAAATAAGGTCACAGTCACAGGCCTGGGGGTGAGGTGATGGACAGAACTTCGAGGCCACATCCAGCCCCAATCTGTCCCCAAGGCCAGGCTCCTGGAGCCACTCAGCAGAGACCTGCAGTCACATGCCATCCACAACCTTTCTCAGGCAGCCCTCCCTCCTGTCCCATGCTGCTCCCTGCCGTGACCAATGGCTGCGTGTCGGGCACGGGTCCCTGAACCTGCATACTGGTGCCTGGGGGACTGCTGCCCTCCTTCCCATAACCATGGCTCACCCATCTGGGAGCAGGCCAGGCCGACACCCTACAGAAGGAGAGCTTTACCCAAAATACAGCTGGAGGGAGAAGCTGATGCCACGAGTGACCTGAGAAAAAGCCCCAACTGAGAGGAGCCATCCCATACTTCCGAACATACTTTTGTAGTGGGGGTGCGTGCGCAGCTGTGCCGGGTTGATGAAGAACTGGATGAAAATGAACAGCAGGATGGTGATCAGGCAGAGCAGGCTGATGGAGGAAGAGACCAAGGAGCTGAAGAAATACCTGTGGGAGAGGCAGGGCCAGGCTCAGGTCTGGGGGTTGGGGGGATGTGCTTGCCAGCTCAGGGTGTCCCTGACCCTGAGCCCAAGGCCCATCCTTCTTCCGGTCTTCTGTTGCCTGAGCTCTCCAGGGGACACCCTGAGGGCACCTCCAGTTTCTATGCCTGAAGGAGTAAAGATGAACTCCCCTTTTACCCCCCTGTGTCAGTGAGGAGGGTCCAGCCAGGCTCACAGGCAGGGACACAGAGCCTCTGTGTCAAGTGCAGGGCCACAGGCTCCTGCCACACCCACCACCGCTGCTCACCCAGTCTCCCGACACACTCACCACCACCGCTCACCCAGGCTCCCGCCACACTCACCACCGCTCACCCAGGCTCCCGCCCAGTCTGGGTGGGGTTCACCATCCCCTGCCCCGCCCCATGTTGCACAGAATACTGAGTGCTGTTCTTCCATCAAGAGGCACGGAAGCCTGGCCACTCGGGGAGTCCGGAGGGGCTGGGACAGGTGCCTGGCTGGCCAGCGGCCCACAGTGCATGTTCTCCACACACCCTCCCAGGGGCTGTGCACGCTTCTGTACACAAACGACATCTTGTGCTTTGGCATTAGAACAAAATCAGTCCTGTCCTCTTTCCTGTGCTCTGAAGGCACAGAATGATTTAAATCCATCCAACAATTAAATTCTGGTCCACAATTCTTGGAAGAAGCTTCTGCTGCAAGGTCTTCGTTTGGGCTTTCTGCTGTTGTGATATTAAAGAAAACTACATCTTTAATATTTTCTACCTTAATGTCCTTTCTTCAGCTTACAGTTATTTGATTCCATTATTCTTTTCCAGAACACCTTGAGGTTCTTTTTACACACATCTTTAGGCAGAGAGCTAAAACATGAGCGTCCTCAAAGGGTCAGGTGGATGTGGAGGGTGGCCCGGAGCTGCTCCTCTGTAGGGGAGTGGGGGCATGGGGGCTTCCAGGCACCCCAGGTCCCCAAGTCTCATTAGACTTTTCTAATCATGAGGCTTTGCATTTCATTCTGTTCGAAGCAGCAATGCTTTTCAGGCCTGAATAAGTGGAGCATTTCTCACATGGCCTTGAATGGACTGCACACCTCACAGAGCAGGATGCTCCATGACGGGGCTGCACAGAGCTCTACACTCCTTCACCAGGCTACACAGGGCGCGATGCTCCTTTACTGGGCTGCATGCTACATGCCTGCTGTGGGTGGAGGGGGAGCAGTGGGGCCCCTTTGAAGGACCACCAGCCGGCAAGGGCTGCTATGAACTAGCTGGGGGAGCATCTGAGACTTTCCTGGCCACTCACAGCCTGGGCCCTGGCACGTGGGGTCTTGGCCAAGCCCACAGGCCCTGCACCAAGCCTGTGCAGGGCTGAACACCTGCTCCCAGTGCAGCCTTGGCCCCCATCCTCTGTGCTCTGACTGCCTCCAGGGAGAAAGCGGCCAGGCCCGGGCCAGCAGGTAAGGACTAGTCAGCTCAGCCTGTGCCCCTTCAGGTGGGGCTGGGCCTCCACATTTGGGAGGGGCTCCAGGCCAACATGTTTCAGAGCCAAAAGGAGAACAGAAGGACGCTAAGGACCACTGTGCTGGGGACAGGACAGGACCCTTCTACCACCTGTGGCCCCCACCCACTTACTCATGAGGTCCCAGCCTGCAGACCCCCTTTCGTGAGGCCCTCGCCCCTCCCCACTCCTCTGTCCCCCTCCCTCCCTGACAGTCCCTTCAACCCTCCCCCCTTCAAGTGTCCCTGCCTCCCCCAGTCCTTTCACCCCTCCCTTGCCAAGTCCCACCTCCCCCTTCCCTAGCACCCTCCTCTCCCCGCCCAGAAGCTCACCCCTCCCCACTGCAAGGTCCCTCCTCCCTTACCCCTCCCTCCCCTGCAAACCCCTCACCCTTCTTCCCTGCTGGGTCTCCCTCTCCCTCCCCCAGTATTCTTCCCCTCCTTCCTAGACCTCCTCCCTGCAGACCCTCACCAGTAATTTCTGCTCCCCACACAGTTGTTCAGCCATTTGCAGTGGTGGTCAAAGTTCGATACACACTTGTTGCAGTAACTACAATGTTTGGCCTTCTTATTGCTGGAAGGAAGCATTCAGGATGAGCAGTCAGTTGGCAGTGTGTGCAGGAGGAAGACAGGGTCAGAGGGGAGAGAAAGGTGGCAGGGAAGACCAGGCCCCAGGCGGGTGCCTTCCCTAAGCCACGCCTGGAACGCAGAGGACCAGCTCCCACCCTGAGCCACAGGCCACACTGCCAAGCTGCTTGCTGAGCCCTCAGTGCCCAGGTGGGGCTCGGCGGGGAGCTGGGTCTCATCTGAGCCCCTAGATCGGTGAGGGGCCCTGCGTGTCTGAGGCACACTGCTTTTCCTTCAAAGAAAGTAGCACCAGTCAGCTGCACGGAATCGGAAAGGCCTGGGGAGGGCCCTGCCTGTGCACAGCGTGGGGAAGGGGGCAGGTCCACACGGCAGGGCAGCGCCCTCGGGTCCGCCTGCCCCCACACCCTGGGCACTCACACCGTGACTTGACACAGGTGGCAATACTGGTTCTGGATGACATGAGCGTGTTTAGTGCGGTCAAAAACAGGCAAAGGCTCTGCGTAGTTCCTGAGCCTCACAGCAGCCTCTGCCGGGTCGATGGAAACTGCAGTCAAGTGAACCACCAGATGGAAAAGGAAAAGCCCGCCAGTCACCTGGGCATGAGTGTCAAGGAACGTGCGACAAAGGTGCCCACTCTGGGTGGCTGCCCGTCAGCGCTGCGGGGGCTGTGCACCTGGCCAGGACACAGGACCCTGCACTCGCACCCCTGCAGCTGACAGAGCCCCCCCGTTTCTTCCCCCGTGAGGAAGTGAGTGTGCTGGATACAGGCTCTCCAACTAGATGCAGGACCCTGGAGGAGCCTGCTGGCATCCTGGGGGCATGGCCCCCATGCTTCAGCGAGGCAGCAAGGGAAGGCCCTGGGGGCCAGCGGCCACCACGCTGGGTACCAAGGTCATAGGGGTTCTTTGGGCAGCGGAGATGCTCAGAGCACGTGCATGAAGGAAGAAAGCATATCATCTAGCATGAAGGAGGGGAGCAGCGAGGGCTCACCCACCCAGTCTGCATGGTCTGTCTGGGTCTCGTCTTTTCTCTCCTCACCCCCAGGCCCCTCCAGCTCTCTGGCACCCACTCCAGCCATGGCACCCAGGGTAAAACCAGGCCCTGGGATCCCACCCTCCTCCTCCCCTTCGGGACCAACACACTGTCCACATGGAAACCAAACAGGAGAGGTGGAAGCCGCCTCCCTGTCAGTCCTACGCGGCGCCCCAGGACCGGGGCTGAGAGGGAGGGTTCAGGGTTCACAGCCTGGGCTCCAGCGTGTGGCAGGGAAATGACCCAGCCCGGCAGGCCGAGGCCACGGGTGCCCCGGGGTCTGCAGTGATTTGACAGTGGTGGGGGTCTCTGAGCAGGGGGCTGGCCACTGCTTAGTCCCACAGGAAGCCCCCGTGGGGTCTTCCTCAGGCCCTGCCAGCCTGGTTCATGGGCACGGCCCTGCCTCCACGGAGGCTCCGTAAGAAATATCCACAGTGCACTAGCCCGAGCGGGAGGTTGCTTCTGGCCAAAATCGCTCATTCCTCCCTTGCCCTCCAGTCTCCAGGTGGCAAGTGCAGACCCAGGGCTCAGGCTGCCAGATGATGACATGGAGGTGATGGAGACCCAGCCCTGCTGCTGGGGGAGGGGGCAGGAGGAGGGCAGCCGAGAAGGAGCCGAGGGCACAGAGTCAGCCCGGGCCAGGGGTGAGTGGAAGGTGGCTGAGAACCAGCTGGGCCCTGGGGGACCTGCACGGGGGACGGGACTGACCAGATCCCTCAGCGCCCCATAAGGGATGCGGTGACCCCAAGCCCATCCTGTGGCCACCGGACCCGCAGGGCTGGGTATGGCCTGAGCCTCATCTGCACTGCTGCCGAGCAGGGTGTGGGGCCAGGTCAGGCTCTGCTGTCACTGCTGGAGACACCCGCACGGTGCTGGCATGCGGTCCCTACACCTGCTCCCAGAAGCCTGCGGGTGCTGGCCAGAGACAAGCACTGTTTGTGTGGTTCCTGGGGAACAGGAGCAGGTCCTGCGCAGGGGGGTCTGGGGTCAGCAGGAAGGCCGGCAATGGGCCAGGTGTGGCCCCTTCCTTTGCTGCATTAGAAACAGGAGGGCAGGCTGCTGGGCAGGGACTGAGGCATGGGGCCCTTTGCCCCCATGACTACACTCAGCTCCAAAGGGAACACCACCAGGGAGGCAGTGTGGGGACAGTGTGGCCTGCGCTCTAGCCTCAGACTGGAAGCACCGAGGCCTCTGCCCTGAGCCTGTTTTTCCCCACATCCCAAGCCTGCAGGTGCTGTGGCCAGGCTGTCCCCAGAATGCACCCCTCAGGAACAGAGGGGCAGCCCCCTGCCATGTGGTAGGCAAGCCCCCTCAAGCGTAAACACAGGTTCAGGATGTCCTTCTAACCCCAGGTCACCCAGGGGAGTGATACAAGTGAGCCAAAGGCCACTGTATTTTGCCTGGCTGTTCACTCCGTCAGCCACTTGGCTGAGAAAAGTGTCAGTGGGTGGGCGCTACCCCAGGGCTCTGTCCTCACATTCAAACGGCCAGGTGATGGGTTTCTCACAGGTTGCAGAGAGTAACAAAAAACAAGAGGCACAGGGTAGGAGGTCTCTCACAGCAGGAGACCAGCCCCCCGCCCCCCCCCCCACGCCAAGGCCCCCTGCTGTGCCCTTATCGACAATCTGTTTGGTAAACACACAGAGATGCCAGCCCAGAACACACGCCATCTCGCCATCCCTCCTTCTGAGTCCTTCTGGTTCTGAGGCGGGAAGGGGAGAGGCACCCCCAGAGCTCCCACCACCTCCCACCAGCTCTGCAGTCACTAACCTAACCAGGGGCTCTGCCCGGCCACAGTGCCCTAGGACTAAGACCTGTCACACGAGAGGCCAGTCCCTCTGAGCAGGGGCTGGGCGGTGTGAGTGGCTGGCAGCTGAAGTCAGGCGGAAACCAGGGGTCTGCCTTCTCTGCTGTGTCTTCTGGAGGCTGCAACCTAGACCCTGCCCTCCCTCCCAGGGCAGCATTCCCTGCAGGCTCCGAAAGACATCTATGCTCCCCAGTGGCCAAGTGCTGCAGAGCCCACAGGGGATGGAAGCCACCCAGAACCTAGCACTTGGGGTCAGCCAAGGGCTCCTAGAGGAAAAGGTGTGCAAGTGGGCCTGGGGCACCCTCTGGGCCTGAAAGCAGGTGAGTGCTCAGAATGCTCCCTGGACAGAGAACACAAGGCAGCTTGAAAAGGCCCCAGAACAGTCTGAGCTGCAGTCAAGGGACAATGGAGACCATGAATTATAACCCAGAATGCAAGCAAACCCACAGTCAGGGACAGAGGTCAGGATACACACACGGGGCAGCTGGAGGCGGGGAGGAGGCCAGGACCCAGCCCTCCCCAGAGCCGGCCCCCCGCCTGCACTGAGGACCTCTGGCTCCGGAAGGAGAGTGCTCCCTCTACACGAGAACGTGAGCTCCGTGCACAGGAGGAAGGGTAGAACTGGTAGATGTTTCACAGTCGTGCGAGACCTCAGCAAGAGGGCAGTTCTGACCAGGACGCCGTGGGGACGGGTGCCAGTGGCCATTGTGCTGGGCCATAGAGAGGAGACTCATCACCACATGCAAACCATGAACCATGACTGGATTCTGGGTTTAAAAAAAACCCCAACAAAGCATGCCTTGGGGACAACTGGAGAAATTTTGAGATGGGATACCTACGAGGTTGTACAGTTTCTGCCCATCCTCTAGTCTGTGAAAGACACAAGATATGCAGGGTGACGTGGGACGCGTGATGCTGGCTTTGGAGGCCCCACCCAGCACCCCCAACCCTGAGCCACAGGCCTACAGGTGGGGCAGCTGTACCAGGCCCCATGCTGCTGGGTCAGACTAGCCCTCACCCTGAGATCCCCGCAGGAGGAGGCTGGCCAGATCAGGGGTACGTATGGTGCGGGGGAGCAGCAGGCTTGCATATCAGGCCATGGTGGATGCCCAGCCATGCCCTGGCCAACGCCCAGGGTCAGCCAGAGGTGATCCCCAGAGCACAGATGCACTGGTGGAACTGAGGTACCGATCCGCAGAGTAAAGTGTAAAGATGGAGCGAGCCTGGCGATGCCCACGTGGCAGGGAGAGGAACACAGAGCTGCCCCTTCCAGCTGCTCCTCCACAGGGCCTGCATGATAGTGCCACGTGTGTCCCCAGTGCCTATACAACTGGCCTGAAGTCGACTCTGGTGCCGTGTCTGGAGCCTCCTGTCAAGGCTGCCACAGGGTTCGCAGTCCCCACTGGGGCCTGTGCTGTGGCTGCCAGCAGCTGGAGAGCTCTCTTTCCAGCCTCTGCAACTCTAGGCCCTGCCAACACCTGGTAACATACTCGTATCTCAACAGGGGCCACGGTTATACTCAGTGTCTTCCCCGGAACCCTGGCGTGCCTCGCGCACCGGCCAGCCTGACCCAGCCCACTGTAGCCCTGCAGACAAGTGACACCCACACAGGGAACCCTGGTCCCTGAGACCGAATGACATGGAAATCCCTGGGAGTCAGCCTTCAGTCTCTGTGCCTTGTGACACCTTTGCAGCTCCTTCCTCTAGTCCAAGCTCCCTGCCCCACCCCACAGCCCCTCCACCAGGGCCCCCAGACGCACTATTCCAATGCAGATGGCAGGCGAGTAGCAGACACTCCTGAGCTTTCAGCCCGGATCCCACACCAGTGAGCCACACAGTGAACGGACATCAGGTTCCAGGCACCATGGCCATGGCAGGTGTTTGGGGCGAAGAGGGGAGAGTGGGGTCACAGAAGAGGGTGCGGACCTGCGGGTGACTCGGGTGTGGGGGACCGGCAGGCATGGCAGGGCCCTGAGCCAGATCTCAGGGAGGGCCTGCAGGGAGCCTCCCTGGGACAGCAGGCGCTGTTCCCACAGTAAAGGATACACCATAGGCGATGAAGTTCCAGTTAGGCGGCAGGAAGGGGATGAAGACGCCAAAGTTGGCCAGGGCAAAGATGAACACCATCGTCCAGGCCAATGCCTGGAAGGGGTGCAGGGGCCATGACCAGCCATTCACTCGAGACAGGTTGGAGACTGGAGCTCGTTTGTTCCTGGCTTCCAGCACGGCCTGTCTCTGGCTCCAGCCACACAAATCCATCTGCAAGACAGGAGGAGGGGCAGGCAGACATGGACTCCTGCATGGCCTGCGCGTCCGGGAGCACCCGGGGACTGCAGCCTGCGGCCTCTGGGGCCGAGGCGGGTGGGGGGGGGGGCCTCCCAGGAGAATCCAGGGGAGTCCTGCAGTCTGCCCAGGCCACAGCAGCGATGCAGCTCCACACACACTGTCCAGCACACCCCCAGTGGGGCATGGCCGTGGCCCCTTCTGGGGGTGAGTGCACAGATTCATCAGAAAACAGATCACATGCAGAGGAAGACCCACTTCAGGAGGAAGCTCTAATCCCCAGGGAAGCTGGAGAAAAGTGTGCAGGAAAAGCAGACCTATGGCCACGTGATCCTTTTATTTGCTGAAATCCTCAGGGAATTTCCTGCAAGTTTCCCTCGAGGACAGAACAAGACATCACGCCCCCAGAGAGTTCTGTTGTTCTTGCTGCAGAACAAAGGCCTGCTGACCAAGGGGCTTCTGGGGCCTCTGGGTGCTCTGGGGTCAACCAGGTCGAGCTGAGGGGCTGGGAGCATCCCATGTGGAAGGCAAGGCCAGCATACTGGGGTTTGGGCACACAAAAGCACCCTGTGTTACAACATGATTCCCCAGTGAAAACAACATTCAGATGGAAACACTTGCCAATGGAGAGGATGCCTCCCAAAATGAAATTCCACCAACAGGGAGGTGGGCTCTAGGGCACAATCACAGACCTCAGCACAGGGAGGCGAAGCAGGGGCATGGGAGGAAACAGAAGGGGCATGGAGGGTGGCAGCAGAGACAACTGGCTTTGGAGTGAGTGAGGGGGTGTGGCGAGGACACAAGGGCGTGGGGAGGGCGTGGGGAGGGCGTGCGTCCACCCAGGAGCCTGCTGTGCCAGCCATGACGGGACACGTTCCATGGGGCTTCCCAGGATGGAAATGGCATCACTGACAACGTGTGGAAATGCTGAGGTTGCAGCTGGCATTGGATTTTGTGAAATTTGAAAGAGAACAAGTTTTCAAGCTCTGAAACTAGTTTGAACCTGAACAGACCCAGCCAAATTGTCATTGGAACACAAGGCTGAGTGTGCAGACGCAGGGGCATGACTTCAGCGCTCCTCAGAGGTCCCTGGATGCTTCCCTGCATTCGATGTGGCACCGAGGGCAACACTGCGCAGGGCATGAGTGAATCCTCAGTTGCCACGGCGGGACCACATCTGCATGAGTGTGAGGTCACAATCACATGCGGCCCAAGCGGTGGTGGTGGGCAGCGCATACTTACCCACAGTCACCGTGAGCCAGCGTGGAGGGCACTGCCAAAGTCGGGCTCCCGCGGGCTCCGTGGTCGTGTGGACTCTTGCAAGACCGGGGGTCTGGAGAGAGAAGATGCAGCTGGCAGCGGGGTGGCAGCCTCGTTCCTGCCCCTCACAGGCGCACGTGCTCAGCTCGCACAACTGCTCGGTTCTTCTAGTTCAGTTCTTGTCTCTCAGAAGCTCCCAGAAGCTCTCGCCAGGACAAATATACAGTTCCAAACAAATGCACAAGCTCCTGCCTCCTGCCAGGACCAGACAGCAGTTAATGAGGGCTCCAAGTGTGCATGAGACGCCTGTGCAGACATACCTGTCCACACGTTCACACTCCACGCGTGCAACAGGCATGCGCATGCAAGACACCACACATGTGATAAGCCACCCACTCATACACCGTACATACTGGACACAAACACGCAACACACACAGCACAGACACATAAACATCCACCACACTCACACATACACACGACACACCACATAGACATAAAGCATATATACAACACACACACAGGATGCACAAACACATGCACATATCACACACATGCACAGCACACACACCGCCCTAGATCTGTGTCTCTGCCCCTCCCCCAACTAATGGCCATCTCTTGCCTTTCAAGCCCGTGCTGGCCTCTCTCCCTAGACAACCTCCCTGACACCCCCACCAGGTCTGATCCAGGCCCTCGTCTACTCCTTCTGCAAATGCTGGGACTCAGGCCGTGGGAAGGGAAACTCATGATCTCCCTCCTGGGCAGGCTCGGTGGGGCCTGGGTCCCCTCTCACCCCAAGCTCGGTTCCTGACGTCACATCCACCTCCCCAACACAAACACGGCTGACGTTCGGGAGCTCCACGCAGAGGCCACCGCACTGGCCAGTGTGGCTGTGGGCAGAGGCAGGCATTGTAACCGCTGACCCTGCCCACCAGGGCCGTCTGCAGGATGGATGCCACCATGCCATGCTCCCCAGGACAGGGTGTCCTGGGCCACCTGCGTGTTCATGATATTGCAGCCTGGCAAACGTGACCTTCAGAACTCTGACACAGGTCAGCCCCAAAATCATTGTTCTGCTCTGTGTCCTGCTTAGGATGTGTAGAGTTTACACTTCTAAGTTCTCTGGTCACAGTAGAAGCAGGAGACACCTACCACCTGGGAGACAGAACCTGCTCCACTTCCTTCCTGGTCAGAGTCCAGGCAGGACAGAAAAGCACAGGCTTGCTGGGCCCGGGCCTAACTGAGGAGTAACAAACCCAGTTGCTGTGGCAACAATAGAACCCAAAGCACCTCATAAAGCTGGGTCGGCCCTGCGCCGGGGCCCCCGGGGCCAGCGGGGCCAGGGTAGGCACAGCAGGCACAGCCTGCAGAGAAGATGCGGGGCCCCCAGACAGGCCGGGTGGCAGGCGGCACCCGCAGGCTGCCCATGGCAGCGCCCCCCCCCCGCCCCGAGGAACCAGTGGTGTGTCCTGGCCCCTAAGCTCCTGCTTGGGCCAGTGTTCCTTGTGACAACTGTCCCACTGGTGGACTCTGCCCTGGAAGCCCAGACCTGAGCACTCCTTCCAGGTCAGGTCAGACACCACCGCCTTGAGCCTGTCCCCTCAGAGGTCACAGAAAGGCCATGGTGGCAGGGAAAATGTCACTAAAAGGCCAAAAAAGAGGCAGGGGTGAGGGGCATGTGCACACTGCACTCGGAAGAGTCTTTCCCAGGGACGGCTCAGCATCGACACCCCATTTCCCGGTCTCTCCCCTCAGGGTCTCAGCTATCAAGTGCAGGAGTTTTCCAAGGCCCCCACTCAGCCATCTCAGATCCCGTTCCCCTCCTAAGTCTGGGCACAGCGTGAGCTCTGCTGCCCCTGGCACCAGACAGCTCCCTGGGGTACCTGCTCTAGCGTCCCGCGTGCACGGAGTGCGGCCCTGCTGCCCAGCACCTGCAGTGGCCAGGTGTCTGCCTCCCACCGGGCAGCTGGGAGAGGCCCAAGACAAAGACAGACGGGTGGATTACGAGGCCACTGGGCAGGGGGCAGGGACCAGCTTGGAGGGAAGGCTGTGTCACCAACACATGGTCAAGAGCACCCTACTGGAGAGCCAGGAGACCTCTCTGCTGGGCTGGGGCTGGGCCACGTGGCTAGTACCGAGGCTGACCTGTGGTCTGGGTCAGTCCAGGTCCATCCAGCCTGCTTACCTGGGCTTCCACATTCTCAACACGCACCCTTTGGCCCCACATGCCATGCTGAGATCTCCAGGAGCAAAGCGTCCATGGAGGTAACAGGCACACTGATCCTGGCAGCCCTGTCTGACCACAGGCGGGCAGCAGGAGATGGGGCCTGGGATGTGAGGTGTGCTGGAGAACGAGGGTGGTAGAGGTCGGTCACCGGACAAGGGGAGAGGAGAGACTGGCTGCCGCCTATGTGCCCTGCACACCAGGAAGTGCCCATGGCAGCCCCGAGCTGGCAGCAGAGCTCTGTGTGCCAACCTCCACCTAGAGCCACATTCCAGTGATGTAGGAGCCAAGGACTCCTGGGCCCAGTCCTGCCGTCCACCACTGTCCACAGCGCGCCCCCAGAGACCCAGGGCAGACCACAGGCTGCCTGAACAGGAACTCAGACCCCCCAAGAACATTGCCGTCGGCACAGCAGAGGCTGCAGACGGAGACGCCGGTGACTGAACACAGTTGGGGGCAGGGCACCCGCCAGAGTGCAGGTCTCCCACGGTGCACTCACCTCTGAGGCCACGTCTGACACAGAATGCTAGCTAGGCAGTGAGGCCACCACTCCCACCGGCAGAGCTCAAGCTGCGGGAAAGCACAGTCTTTACAGCACTTGAAGGGTCCATTCGGTACATGGAGACACAACGTCTCGGCCGCCTGCACAGAACGTGTCTCCCCAGGTGCACCTGTGTGCAGGCTGCCGGCCCCTCACCGGGGCTTCTTCTCAGGCCTGTGACCTCAGCACCTGGTGCCCTGCCACCGCAGGAGGCCACCGGGGAGTGGCGCAGGGGCGGCACTACCCCAGGGCCCCCCAAGTCTGCGGGCGGTGGGGTCCCCTGGCTGACCGGGAGCCGCGGTGACCTCAGCCACTCACACCCATGAGAAATGAGCCTCCAAAGAGACCACTTTGCTCCATGAGAATAACTTCAGAAGCTACATTCACCATAAAAGCCCTAAGAAACAGACCTAAAACCAGAGCCATAACCCCGCCCCGGGCAACCAGGACCTCTACCCACGAACGGCTGCAGGCCCAGAAAGCCTAACGGGACAAACGTCCTGTTGGCCCCACTCTGCAACCCACTCTCGTCCCCAAATGGCAGCCTGGTCCTCCCTTCCCTCAACACAAACACGCCCATATTTCTAAGGCTCACAGAGCAATCCCGTACTTGATCCATAACCTGCCGGACAGGAAGGTCACTCACAAGCTCTGCTCTGAGCCCGCCTGCAGCCCCACGGTGCACACATCTAAACACACCACCCCCGAGGGGTCAGGACCGGGGTGCGGTGGGCAGGGATGTCAGGAACGAGTCCGAGGGCGGGATAGGCAGGTGCTGGCACTCACACGCACACACACATGCACTGACACACACACACTGACACATATGCCCACACGTGCACTGACACGAATCTGCATGCACGCTCACATGCTCACATGTGCACTGGCACAAATGTGCACATGCAGACGTGTACACCAGACTCAATGTGTGCACATGTGTGCTCACACATACGCTCACACATGCACTGGCACAAAGGCACACATGTGCAACATGATCACACGTGCTCACATTTACAGACATAAATGTGCATGCTCACATGCCACATGTGCACTTCTGTGCACGAGCACAGATGCACGTACAAGACTGCACAAGTGTGCACACTCACACGTGCTCACACTCTCCCTCACTGGTCTTGTTCTGAGTGTGGATTCCAGAAGAAAAGAGTAGCAAGATGAATCCGCCTCATCCAGCACTCCGCCCAGACAGCCCCACTCCCTGGAAAGTCCACAGTGTGGTTGAGGTGCTGTGGCTCGGCTGTGCAGTCCATGGCTGGCACATGGCCCCTGAGGCTCTGAGGGACACTCCCCCTCACTACCCACCTGCCAAGTTACTCTGACCACCCAAAGCATCTGTGGGTTTTTTAAAAAAATTTTTTTTGGTTTATTTATTTTTGAGACAGAGAGAGTCAGAGCATGAGTGGGGAAGGGGCAGAGAGAGAGGGAGGCACAGAATCTGAAACAGGCTCCAGGTTCTGAGCACAGAACCCGATGTGGGGCTTGAACCCAGGGACTGCGAGGTCATGCCCTGAGCTGAAGTTGGACACCTAGCCAACTGAGCCACCCAGCCGCCCCACATCTGTCGGTTTTGACTGGGATCCTACCAGCTTCCTGGGGCAGCCGGCACAGGGAGGCAATCCAAGCCCCAGGTCCCCCTTTCGTGGCTGTGACACACCCAAGAAGGAGCAGCCTGAGTCCTGGTGGGGCCCATGGCAACAGCAGGGCATCCTTGGGCCCGTATTTACACGCTTTAAGTGTGACATCCTCAGAAACCCCATGCTGAGGGGTTGGCCAGATGTAAGAGGCCACATCCTGTATGATTCCACTTAAACGAGATGCTCAGAACAGGAAAACCCATACATGTCAAAAGCAGAGTAGGTTGCCAGGGGCTCTGGAAAGGACTGAGGGTGGCTGCTAAAGGGGGTGGGATTTTCTTTTGATGGTGACGGAGATGTTCTGAATTCAACACACGTGGTGACAGCAGAACACTGTGAATCTACCAAATATCTTAGAAAGCTGCCCAAAATGGAACACTTTGAAAAATTCTAAAAACCTCAAAGACAAAAAAGCTACATCCGTGGCCCATGGGAGAATATCAAACAATTGAACACACAAATATTGGGCTCACCCCTAGATAATGTTTGTTTGTGTATGTTTGGGGGAGGGAGGGGGATATGTTTAGAAAACAATGGCCAAATGGTGTCTAAACATGATGCACATAAACCACAAAAGAGAGAACCCAAGGAGAAACAGACAAATCCACCAATAGTTTGGTCATGACTCTCTCAGGCAACAGTACAGTAGACCGTCAGCAAGAGCAGCAGGCATCGGGCCTTGCGGGCAGAGTGACTCGGACACCCATGTAGGCCAGTCCCCAAAAGACCACGTAAAGTAAGAGCCGTAAATTTAAGACTGAAACTGTGACTCAGGACAATATTCAGTACAGGAGTGAATTCACCTTGAAAGAGAGGCATCTAATATGAAAGGAAGATTATGAAGACATAAAACCACTTTCTATGTCACACATGAAGAGCAAACAGCCCTGTCCTCGTGCTCCCCTTTCTCGAATTACCAAAAGTGACCTGCTTGAAAGTCTGATGGTCAATTTCTGGGCTAGTGCTTTACACAGGGATGTTTTTTCAGTTCCCGGAGGACCTGTAACGAAACCAAGCGATGTGTTTTTAAGTCAGTGTGGTAACAAATTCCTTAAAGCAACAGTAGTTGCGTTATCCGCAGCACACAAACCGAGCAGAGCTCAGAGCTCCGAATGCTATCACCCCAAGGACTGCTGGGTAGCTCGCAAAGAAGTCTGCTAGCAGCGCATGTGCTATAAAATATTAACAACATGCTTCACGAGGCTCTCCTTTTTCTCCCAGTTGACCTCAGCCCGTGTTTCTGCTCTCAGCTTCCATGACCCAACACGGCATCGCCCCCCGGCCTGTGCATCCCCTCAGCGTCCAGAGTGAGCACATTTCCTGGTCTCCGTCCGCACTGACACCCTCCCTGTCCCCACACATCCTCTATAAAACCCACTCGCTAAGGCACCTTGTGAAAGGCCAAACAGCTTCCATGAGAAGCATCTGGACTAAGGCACTGAAGTCTGCCATTTCTGCAGCGCACAGCATCCCCGGCTTTCACTGCCGCCCACATTGAACCAGAAGAGCAGCTGGCGAGGCCCTGCTCATACAGCCCCCTGGCCCACGTGCCACCGAGCAGGACGCCGGGCAGTAGCTGAGACGGCCAATGTGGAGGGACAAACGCATCTATCAGAAAACGCAGACACTTTCACATCTGATTTTCTACAGGCATTCTGGATAATTAAAGAAGAAATACGTAACCAATTCTAAATGGGAAACACTTTATTTCACTAATCAAAATACCTACTCACTGCGTACTTAGAACCCAGTATCAGGACAATATGGTGACAATATCTGCTGTTTAAAAGCACTGTTTCAGAGGTGCCTGGGTGGCTCAGTTAAGCATCTGAACCTTTATTTTGGCTCAGGCCATGATCTCAGTTTGTGAGATTGAGCCATGAGTCGGGCTCTGTGCTGATAGCACAGGGCCTTTTTGGGATTCTCTGTCTCCCTCTTTCTCTGCCCTTCCCCCATGTGTGTACTCTGTCAAAACAAATAAAATCTTTTTAAAAAGACACCTTTTTAAGACTCCACAGAAGCATATAATCTTAACTGATCTGAGAAGCTAATTACTCTGCATTCCTACCTCACTATTATTTGGGCATTCTCTCGATTTCTTTCTAACCAGTAACATCAAGAAAAAATCCAATGTTCTCCTCAGAAGATTCAGGCAGAATTTCAGTGAAGCACGATGTTGCAGTTTAAGGTCACAAAGCGAAGCTCCAGGAACACTACAAAAATGTGAGGCTGTTTCTGTCCTAAGGAATGTACGATTACTTAGGGGGAATTAGGTAGTTATTTGAAGAGTTTAATAACAATGTAGAAAGGTCACAATGCAGAGACCAGGCAGCTGCTGAGTGAAGGGTCAGGTGACAGATGCCCAGAGTAACATGAGCTGGAGTGGCTTCTCAGGGAGGGGACCTTCGAGGACAGCTCTGGCTGCATCAGAACTGTAACTCCTCGAAGGCCAACGGGACAAGTAAAAAGCTTAACTTCAACAGTTTATCTGGTTAAATAAAGAAAACCTCACATGCTCCTACCATGAAGCAGCACCACCCTGTTCCAGGCGATGAGATTGCTGTTGATGCCTTCTTGTCTGAAAATAGTAAGGCTGTCATCACATCATCGAGGAGCTGAGCAAAGAAAGGTAAAATGCGGATAAAGGTACAGACAAGGCAAAGGTTCCAAACAGAGGTGCTGCTGGAGCCGGTGCCCGAGGAGAGGGGACAGGCACCAACCACCCCTCAGAGACTGCTGGCACCAAGTGCCGGGTACCTCACAGGCTTTCATTTTGGAAGAAACTCAGAACGTACGTGGCCAGATTGGCTGCTGCTACTCTAACTGTACAGACACAGAGGACCCACAAAAGGACTAGACTTAGCAAGGGATGAGTGGGCCCCTCCCTCTGGGATCACACAGCAGCGGGCAAGCCACAGCACATTCACTCAGGACAACAGCCTGGGCTGTGGTCACGCAGCCTGCGGCGGTGTGGGGATGGACTTCTGGCATCCCCCACAGCATGGGGGACCCTTCCCCTTGAAAGGGGGTTCAGACGAGCCAGTGCTTGCTCGGACCTGCCCACCTGCTCTGTCTGCCCCTCGGCCCTGCCTCCTCATCCCAAGGGGTTAAGAGCACAATGCAGTGAAAGCTCTCCTTCCATTCTGCACCTCCCCTCCCTCCCCCACGGGACAGGTATCTGGGACATGGGCTTCCAGGAGCCTGAAAAGTTCCCCAAAGCCTGTTTGACTCATCGGGCTCCAAGATGCTGGAGAGCAACACAATACTGACCCCACCTCAAACAACCGGACCTTCTTGCAAAATAACACAGCAACTTACATGAGACTGGACCTCCACCTCGTATGCCAGGCTGTCCCAAAGCCCGTGGAATTCAGCTGGGACAGAGGAAAACAAAATCCCAATTTTAGGAAAGCAAGCACTACACTGATCTGTGAGGTCTGCCCTGAGCCACTGACACTCTCTATGTTACCACATATAACTTGCTGAATGTCTCATTACTGGGAAGTTAAATTTTTGAATTTTTTCTTAAAAGTTTACTTTTTCTTTAAAGAAAAATATCTGGCAGCACACAGCTTTCAACAGACAATTAAATGGAGTACGGGGTCACTTTCTTGTCATGTGACCATACACAAGTATCTGCTGTGGACCGTGCTCTGCCACAAGCACAGAGCCTGCCCCATCGCTCTCTGCACCAGCCAGCGGGTGGGGGCTGGGCAGGTCTGGGCTGGCAGTCAGGACACCAGACGGAATTGCTGAAGACTCCACCTGCTGGAACCATGGCAGAGTCCACAGGGAAGCCCGAATAAGGCAGGCGGAAGGGTGGTCCCGGCAGGTGATGACCAACTGGGAAGGAAAGAACACCTCCAGATTCACAGCACCATCTCTGAGGGACCCTCCTGAAGGAACACAGTCTTACGGTGGATTTCCTACTTTTACCTTGTAACATGCCCTCCATTCCACAAGAAATAAAACACCCTGAAAACCTACAAAAGCTATGGATGAATACAATCTCCCTGGCTAACTGACTTGGAGAGCTCAAGCCTCTGACCGACCCCTGATGTCATGTCCCGGGTTCGCCACCACCCACAATGCCTATGCTCCTGTGGGCAGAACCCAGTGACTCACTGCCGTGATGTTCTCAGGCTCCTCCTACAGGGTCTCACTGCTGGGGCCACCGTCATTCAGCTGGAAGATGTAAATGTAATCGTACACGCACCCAAGTAGATGGGCTGTGATGAGAAGGAAAGCCAAAATAAACTCACACAGACTGAAAATAACTCCATTCCCAATTCTAGCTACAAAGATTAGACTGTACATTCAAAAAATTAAAATTGAATACACAGAATGTTAGAAACTAGTTCTTAAATTAGATAAAGAAGCTGTTATATTCAGATTCAGTATCAACTCTTTTTTTTTAATGTTTTATTTATTTCTAGGAGAGAGAGAGACAGCGTGAGCAGGGGAAGGTCAGAGAGAGAGGGAGTCTCAGACTCTGAAACAGGCTCCAGGCTCTGAGCTGGCAGTCAGCACAGAGCCCGATGCGGGGCTCGAACCCACGAACCGCGAGATCATGACCTAAG